TTTTATTATTTTTATTTTATGTGTATGAGTGTATTGCCTGCATGTATGTGAGTGCACCTGTGTCATGCAATGCCGCAGAGGTCAGAGAGGGCTTCAGATTCCCCTGGAACTGGAGTTAAGGACGGTTCGGAGCCGCCATGTGGGTGCTGGAAATCGAACCCAGGCACTCCGCAAGAGCAGTCAATGCTCTTAATCGCTGAGCCATCTCTCCAGCCCCCTTATTTGCCTTTTAAAAAAAGTCTGTTATATAGTGTGAAATTTAACATTAAGGAGCTTTTGGCTTAGGTACAAATCCATTGAATAAAACACTAGAGCAGGTTTACACATAAATGTGAACAAATTACTCATTAAAAATTCTTCCTGGGCTGGAGACATGGCTCAGCAGTTAAGAACACTGTTCTTGCAGAAGACCCAGATTCAAATCCCAGCACCCGCATGGCAGCTAACAACTGTCTGTAACTCCAGTTCTAGGGGATCCGACAGCCTCTCCTGTCATCCACAAGCATTGCACGACATGGGTGTACTTACTTACATTCAGGCATAACACTCCTATACATAAAATAAAAATAATTAAAAAAAAAAATCTTCCTAATTGGGGCTAGAGAGGTGGATCAGCCATTAAGAGCGCATACTGTGCCGGGCATGGTGGCGCATGTCTTTAATCCCAACACTTGGGAGGCAGAGGCAGGTGATCTTTGTGAGTTCAAGGCCAGCCTGGTTTATATAGTGAGTTCCAGGCCAGCTGGGGCTACAGGGAGACCCTGTCTCAAAAAGACAAAAAAAAAAAGTGCATGTTGTTCTTGCAGAGGACCCAAGTTTGGTTCCCAGCACCCACATGGCAGTTCACAACTATCTGTAACTCCAGTTCCAGGGGATCTGATGCCCTCTTCTGGCCTCCATGAGTGCAGGCAAAACACTCATATACATAAGATAAAAATAAATAAATCTGAAAAATTCTTCCTAATGTTTGCTAAAGTCAAAAAGACATTTTTTATTTAAGATAACATCACTTAATTCAAATGTGAGAACTGTTTACAAGTGAGTGATAAAAGTTTTAAAATTATTTTATTTTATGTGTATGAGTGTATTGCCTGCATGTATTGTAAGTGTACCTGTGTTATGCAACGCCCACAGAAGTCAGAAGAGGGTGTCTGATCCCCTGGAACTGGAGTTACAGATGGTTGTTAGGCACCACATGGGTGCTGGGAACTGAACCCTGGTCCTCTGCAAGAGCAACTAGTGCTCTTAACCACTGAGCCATCGCTCTAGCCCTAGAAGTTAAAAAAATTTTTTTTTAATTTATCTTTGATAAATTAAAGTATGAGTACTTTGCCTACTTGGATATAAGTGCACCCATGTCATGCAATGTCTGAGGACACCAGAAGAGAGCATCAGGTCCTCTGGAAATGGAGTTAAGAGACAGTTATTAACTGCCATGTAAGTGTTGGGAACTGAAACCAGGTCCTCTGCAAACACAGCCAGTGCTCTTAACCACTGAGCCATCTCTCCAGCCCTAGTGATAAAACTTTAAAATCACTTTCTGCTCTTCTGAATGACTTTTCTCAATCTACAAAGCTAGCAACAATTGTACTCCACATATTTTTCTATACCTTGGTGTGGGACTGTCTCTAGCTTGAGAGCTGAGAAGGGAATGATGAAGAAAACAGCTCTCTGACTTTAAGGCCTCAGCTTTTGCATTTATTTAGAAAAAGTACAAAAGAATCAGGAATGACAGGCACAAGATTGCCTAATCAGTTCAGGGTGCTTTATCTACTATACTATGTTTTAAACACGTGTAAAATCAAGAACACCCCAAGTCTTACTACTTAAAGGCTGAGCCCTATAATTTTTATGAACGTAACCTTGAAGATTAGGTTTTAGGGTTTTTGTTATTTGTTTGTTTTGTTTTGTTTTCTTGAGACAGGGTCTACCTTTAGCCCCAGCTGGCCTGGAAACAATTATCAAATATTTTCCTTTCCAGTGATTATGCTAGAGAACACTTTTACTTGTGAGGATAAAGAATTAAAGCAGTGCAAATACTCCTCTTCCTTGTGATCCCTCAGCACTGGGAGCCAAGTAACTATTTGACAGCCTGGAAGTGGGGAGCCTACTTGTGAAAGCAAAGATTTCAGTTATTTCCAACAACAGATCCAAGAAGTAGTGCTACTACCATTTGAAGTATTTTATAACAGGCTCAAAATACTTTATAATTAATTTCCACAGCTATGCATAAATCCAGTAATAGGCATGAGGGCCATAAATCACTGTGTGTGACATTTTACCATAGAAGAATCTGAATGACAAATGAAAAGCTAACAAGATCATCAGGATAGGAACACTTTCAGGGCATCTTTTATTAGACGCTACCTTCTCCTAGGTTTATTTGCTGACCTTCCAAACTACAAAAAAGAAGTTACTTCTTGCTGAATGGAATTCTGTTCTTCATAGTAAGTTCCTATTTTCATTACCACTGAGCAAGTAGCCAAACCCCAAGTGATGCAGGTACAATGTTTGACTTGGCAGCTAATGTCTAACAGAAATTATGTACAGCGTGAATATAGCTCTGCTGGATAGACAGTCTGAGGAGAATGTGATCCACCTGTGCATCACTGCATCCATGACACACTGAAGATCCTACCTTCTCTGAGACAGCAGTGAAGGTCATGGCGTGGGTCATAAGTGACTCACCAAAGGCCAACCTCTCAGCTTTATTCATGTTCTTCAAGGAGACTCCAAACACTAACTCATGGTCATAGCTGTAAAAAGAGCAGCACAAAATAAAAAGGAGTGTAACCGTAGCACTGATTACATAAGGAGACTGAGGAAACTAAAGAGCACAAGGCACTTGCAGAATTCAGTCTCACAGTAAGATTCCGTTCCTTAGGTGTCATAAGAGTATGCAGGAAAATGTGAGAAGATTAAATATAAATTCTCGATAGTAAATATTGTCAAGATCAATAATTATAGCTATTTTGGCAAGAAAACTTAAAAAAAAAGAAAAGAAAAGAAAAAGCTTCAGTTTCTGAATCAATTTAAACCACTGATTGTGAAATTAATTTATTTATTTTTTTATAGACAGACAGGGTCTTATATAGTCTAGGCTGGTCTTGAACTCACTATGTAGCTGAGGCTGGACCCTTGATCCTCCTGCCTCCTCCTTCTAAGTGCTGTGATTACAGGCCTGAGCCATCAAACTTGGCTCTGAATGTGAAATTTAAATATATAATACCAGCCAGGTGTGGTGGCGCATGCCTTTAATCCCAGCACTCTGGAGGCAGAGGCAGGCGGATCTCTGTGAGTTCAAGGCCAGCCTGGTCTACATAGTGAGTTCCAGGACAGCTGGAGCTATAGGGAGACCCTGTCTCAAAAAGACCAAAAAATAAAATAAAATAAAATAAAATAATAAATATATAATACCAAAAATATTGGAGACTCAAATTTAAGACCAAAAAAATTCATTATTTCTCTTAGGAAATTACTTTTCTTTTGCTAAATATCAAAATATTTACTCAGTTTCCTACTAGTAACAATTACTTGTAAGTAAATCTAAAGATGATTTTGTTTAAACTTTTTTTCAATGCTGGAAACCGAACTCAAGGTCTCAGGCATGCTAGGCAAGTGCTCTACCTCCAAGTTACAGTACCTTATTTTTTTTTTTTTAAGATTTTTATTTACGCATACATGTGTGTGAGTGTGTGCTATGTGTGTGCAGGTACCCATGGAGGTTAGAAGGCATCAGACCCCCTGAAGCAGAAGTTACAGACAGTTATGAGTCACCAAACATGGGTACTGGGAACCAAACTTGGGTCCTCTATAAGAGCAGTACACACTCTTAACTGCTGATCCATCTCTCCAGCCCCTAAAATGATGTAGTTTAACAATTAAGGAATCTTGTCTGATTTCGCTTGAAAATGATCCTTCAATGTCATAAAAGACAAAGAGGAATAATCCAAGGTATATAAATTAGTCCAACTTGTCATAAAGACAACATATACAAGGCACCAAAATAAGAGAAACATTTTAAGAAGGATCAAATAAAAAGAGCTCTCGAAAATCTTTCATTACTTTTCCAAGTATACTGATCAGATTTACAGGTAGTCAATTATGTTTTTAAAGTTTTTGCCATGCAGAGAGGCTTTTCAGAAAAGCCAGTGATTTCTGCTGAAGTATGATCTTGATTTCCTGAGTTATAGCACTTCAAATTCTGTGGGATGCAAAAAGAGAGACCTACCCTGAGGTCAACCTTATCTTTGGACGAACCTCAGCAGAGGCATTTTGAACCAAGAGTGCACTCCAACAGAAAAAACCCACAAATGACTTTCTATTTTAAATTTCTTGCACTTACACGTTCATGTCACTGAGGCCCAGCTTGCCATTGAAGTGTTTTCCAACATCACAGCCAAACCACACAGCCTAGAAATAGAAGAAAATCAACATAAACCAAAGAAATAAAACAAAAAAGCTATTTTAACCCCAATGTGGGAGACATAAAAATGATAATACCAACCTCTCCATCTTTGATAGAGGCAGCAACCATCTTTTTCAAGAAGTCAATGGGCTGGTTGTTATACAGTGTTTTTCTCCCTCCAACCATATTGCTCAAGTAGTCTACTGTGTACAATTTATTGTACTTGTGCTGGGGCCGTGGGTCATTCACAAAACAAATCTTTTGAGATCAAGAACATGTGCATTAGAATATAAGACCAAGAAGGCCAAGCAAGCCACAAGCCTCCCCTCTACATCCCTTATGCTTACAAGCTCATCACCACTACTACAAGAATAAGTAGTATAGCCACAATATAAAAATTTTAAAAAGTGACAAAAAACATGTAAGAGGGTACTGTATATTCTACTTAGCATAAGGAACACATTTGAGAACAGTATTTACCTGTCTTCCCTAATGATAAAAATTACCCCAAAATTAACTCCCCCAAAAAGTATAAAATTAGTATGGATGGCCCATCAATATAAGGTCCTTGCCCTCAAATTTTAAGAAAGCCTCAATACCTAGCATTGCAATTTGCTTGGTGGAGAATCAAAAAGCTAATCAAGGAAGGAGGCAGATGTGGCAGACATGAAGGGAACAGCAAACACTAGGATTCTTCCTTTAATAAGATAGTTCCCCAAAAGTGGTATGAAAGTGCTCACAATCCATGACCAACATCCAGCTTTGATGTTCTTTGTTCTTGAGAATGATTCTGGCTCCACATTGCAGAAAAGGGAGCAGGGTGACATGGGAATTAAACTGTTGGCCTATAGTCAGAGAGTCTCTGAAGAGAATCTCTGAGAAAAGGTGACCCTGGCAGGACTAATTTGATTAGATGCATACAGACCTTTAGAGAAAGGTTAAAAAAAAAAAAATGTTTCTATAGCATCTAATTTGACGATCATGCACCTCAACTCAAGAATCTTATACCCTCTTTTGTAGTCAACAATCAGCTCAAAGGAAATAGCCAGCTACCTGTGCCAGCCACTAACCTTATCTTCCATATTGAAGAGTGGCTTCACATGCTCCCTGTAAAACTGCAAGGGTGTTATGGGGCCAATCTTGTGATAATTTTTATCTTTGTCTCGATACTCCCAAGTGAATGTCTCTGGTGGATTACCCAAACAGATGCAAACCACTCGGAATATCTAGGAGAAAGGAGGAAGAGATGAGTAACTGCTAAGGGAGGAATTATTTTTTATGTCTTCATTTTCCACAAATTTGAAAAATGTTAAAAATTGTGGCTATATTCAAGCTCAGAAATGTCGAAAGAAATCCAATACTGCACCAAAACACTGAAAGTACCAGGCATCAACATCTGAGTTCTTTTTAAAAAATATTTATTATTTTTATTTTATGTGTATGAGTATATTGCCTGCATGTATGTAAGCACACCCGTGTTGGAGGTCAGAAGAAGGTGTCAGATTCCCTGGAACTGGACTTATGGATGGTTGTTAGCTGCCATGTGGGTGCTGGGAATTGAATCCAGTCCTCTGCAAGAGCAGTCTTAACTGCAGAGCCATCTCTTCAGCCCCACCATGTGAATACTCTGAACAACGCAATTTTGAAATGTTAGTATTTAATACTTAGTACATGTCCTAGAAATTAAATTTCCTTAGCTAAGAAACCTTCCCACAATTGCTATCCAACAAAATCTAAGTTGCTGCTCTGCTAACGATCTTTTAAGTAGCGAATAAAGCATTATTTTATGGTCCTCTCCCACTCTCATTCCCTTTCCTCCCCCTTTTCTTTTTTTTTGTGTGTGTGGGGGGCAGTGCTGGAGATTGAACCAGGGCTCTATGCAAACTAGGCAAGTGTTCCATCCATGCTGAGCAATATTGCTAGTCCCCAAGTAGCATTTTCTACTGAAATAACATTTTTAAGTTAGCATTAATACAATCTATTATATGTTATACTAATTTCATTTTATAGAATGAAAAAACAGATATAGCAAAATACCCTGCATAATGTCAGAATATGTAAAATATTTCATTTTCTATCTATTTCCTTGTTTTTTAAAGACTATCATTTGTATCTTCTTTCTACACCATATATATATAAATCATTATCCTGATCCAGCCTCATCTCTTCTTGCCTTCATTATTTGTACAATGTATTTGTATACTCTTTATATTCAAGAGAAATTAATCTTATGCCCATTTGTGCTAGACATTCTATACTTCTTAGGGCACTTAATTATCATAGTACTCTCAAGGTAATTTATTCCCAGATTTCTTTTTTTCAGAAGAGATTATGACTTAAAGAAATTAAGTAATCTTCAAATTAGAGCTGGTAACTGTGAGATCACGATCTGAACTGAGATCATAGGCTATTAAAAAGCATGACTGCTTCTTGGCTGCAAGCTTTAGGAAAGGGAACATTTACAGAAGGCCTCCTGTGTTGTACTATAATCTCTGAATACTAGAGCTCTTTCTCCTCACAAGAAAGATGACAGATGTTATTGTCATTTTAAAGATAAGAACCAAAACTCAGGAAACAAACAGCTTGCATGAAGTCCCAAAGCCAGTAAATGGCAGAATTGGAATTGAACTCAGACTTAAGTTTCCAAAAAACACTATAAATTTACCAGGTAGTTTTCCAGGTTTCATATAATTTATTTCCTATAACACATTACAAACTTTTAAAGAAATAGGCCTGTAAATTGTCCTCTGACTCTCCATGCTTGGGTGCGCTGTACGCACACATACACACAAAAAAAGCTAAAATAAAAATCAAACAGAAAAAAAGAGTAAGGAGCAAATCATGGCAATTCTGAGGTCCCTACAGCACCTCAGAACAGTGCTGAGCACATAACCTAGATATACTGGCAAATCTGATTCATTCTCATCACCTCAGGATAAGAAATTTTTGAAGCATCACTTACTTTGAGTCATTTCCCTACTGAAGATCCAATAATGCTTGCCTAATACCTCCCACTACAAATCCAAACTCCACCACCTATTTTTTTCTTACTTTTTTGTTCGGTATGATCAGTAAAATGGAAAGTACAACTCATTTCATTGTTTTGAACACATATATGCACCAAAGTAACCACCCAGAACAGTAGACAGAGCACATAAAAAAGGGGATTCCCTGGTTCCTTTACAATAAATAGCTCACATAACTTCTCCAAGGTAACTATTATTTGACTTCTATAGCCATGGTTCAGTTTTGCCAACTCTTTTGTTGTTGTTGTTAATTTTTTTTTGATTTTTTATTTTTATGTGTATGAGTGTTTTGCTTGTTTGTATATAACGTCACCCATGTGTGAAGTGCCTGTGGAAGCTAGAAGAAGGCACTGAATCCCCTGGAACTGGAATTACAGACAGTTGTTAACTGCCATATGGGTGCTGGGAATCAACCTGTGCTTTCTCCAAAAGCAGCAGGTGCTCTTAAAATCTGGGCCATCTATTCAGGCCCAGCTTTGCCTACTCTTAAACGTCACATAAATGGAGTCACAAAGCACACTGTCTTTTGCGTTTGGCTTCCTTTGGTCAACATGTCTGAGATTCACTCATGTTTCTGTGAGTATAAGCAATTTTTTCTTTACTGCTATGATTCTATCTTTACAGAAGGAGGTTAACTTACAAAAAGAGGTTATGCTTGCCTTCCATTTTGTTTTGTTCTGTTTTCCAAAAGAGAAGCTTCCTGTATTAGGATTTACTCTATGTTTTATGAACTTGAACAGCTGGTCCTTAAACCACCATCTTTTAATATTGTGCCATTCTTAAGTTGGTGTCTAGCTCAGCAGAGGCAGAAAGGCATATAAAGCCACTGTAATTGAGTAGTTTCCAGGAATCCAGGCTCTGTAATCTGAAACCCAGTATGCTAATGAGGCATCCTACCCGCTATTCTGTGATAGGACCTTAAGTCTGCTATGCTAATAGGATGCTAAGTACTTGCTGTACTGTGATAGGACACTAAACCTGTTATGCTAATAAGGTATCCTACTTGCTGTGCTGTGATTGGACCACTATCCCTATATAAGCTTGTGCCTTCCTGCACTAAACCAGACCTGTGTCACTGAACCTGGTCTCCTGTGTCTGAATGCAGCTCTGCTGACAGGGTCTCCTCACCAGCCCTGGGGTCCGGGACTGGGCATAAGCAACGACGACAGGAGGCAGCACAGGACAAGCAAAAGAGCTGCCTCAGCACCAGGCAAGCAGAAGAGTGGCCACAGCCCAGGGTGAGTGGAGGAGCAGCCTCGATGCCCGTGAGAATAAAGGAGCGGCACCCACGAGAATGGAGGAGTGGCCACCAGTGGTGGTGACTGCATACCCCCATCTCAGGGGTAGAAAGAACATTAAGAAAATGAAGTGAATTTCTGGTTACTTTTCAACATATTTTAAAGATAAATAGGAATGTTTCTCATTATAAGTTGCATTGTACTTTACTATGCATTTTGATTCACTATCTGAATACCTGAAGTAAAAGGTATTAAGTTATTCCCTCTGCCCAAAGTTGCATTTGAGGTAGAGTGCTTGCCTAGTGTGCACAAGGCCCTGGAGTTTGAGCAACATCACTAAAGAAAAAAAAGCATCAGGGGGCTGAAGAGATGACTCAGCGGTTAAGAAAACTGGTTGTTCTTGCAGAAGACCCAAATTGGAATCCCAGCACCCACATGCCAGTTCCAGGGGATCCAACAGCCTCTTTTGTCCTCCGCCGGCATTGTACAACACAGGTGCACTTACCTACATGCAGGCAATACACTCATACACATAAAATAAAAATAATAAAATAAAAAGCATCAGAAGAACTCTGGAGTTGGTGAGGTGGATCGGCAGGCAAGGGTAAGAGGACCTGTGTTCAATCTCTAGAACTCAGGTGAAAATGCAAGGAGAAAGCCAACTCCCCAAAGGTGTCCTCTGACCTCTACATGTACACCATGGTACAGGTGCACCCCCATACGTCATGCCCACACTAATAAAGTGTAAAAAACTTCCTTTAAAAAAAGGACTCTACAGCTGGGCATGGTAGCGCACGCCTGTAGTCCCAGCACTTGGGAGGCAGAGGCAGAGGCAGGTGGATCTCTGTTGAGTTCAAGGCCACCCTGGTCTACATAATAAGTTCCAGGACAGCTGGAGCTACAGGGAGACCCTGCTTCAAAAAGACAAAAAAAAAAAAAAAAAAAAAAAGAGACCTGCATTTCTGTTATCCAAGTGAATTCTGTAGTTAAGTCCTTTGCAAGGTAATACTTATCCCCTGTTGCACATACTTCATAAATCTGACTTTTTAAATCAAATATATTTAAACTATATATGATGATAAGGGTGACATTTTTTCTTAGATTCTACAAAATTTCTGTAATTTAAGATATATAGTTTTAGGCCGGGTGTGGTGGTGCATGCCTTTAATCCCACCACTTGGGAGGCGGAGACAAGCAGATCTCTGGGAGTTCAAGACCAGCCTGGTTTACATAGTGAGTTCTAAGACAGCTGGGGCTACAAGGAGACACTTTCTCAAAAAGACCAAAAAAAAAAAAAATATGTAGTTTTGTTTTATACCATTTGTTTATGATAACTACAAATGTCCGAAGTCATTTATGTTTGTCAGGTGTAACAACCTGGAAGGAGTATGTGGCTCTAGTCAAATAACAATAGTTATGAGCTATAATTTTAGGAAATTCTCCAAAGTATAATCTCTAAGTTTCATGAAGCTGTATTTCTTACTCAGGCAGCCTCTGTTTTGAAACGCTACTTTCAGAGGTACAAACCTGGCTTAAGTTAACTCTGAATAGCCAAGTCTGTTCTCTGGTGGACACAGCAGGAGCGTCCGCTGATTCTCACAAAATACACCTGGCATCAGGACAAAGACACAGGCTAGAATGCCTGTATTCCTCAGAATATAATTACGTATTAACACCTACAGTTAAAGCTTTGGGGAAAATGCAAGTGTGACTCTGATTTAAATTGCACTCTCCATCCCAGGACTTCTTTCCTTTTCTCCATACAACTTACGGTATATTATACTATACGGTAATTACAATTTTTACGTATTTTATTTGTCTCTGCCTCCCAGAAAGTAAATTACACAAAGGTAGGACTCTAACCTGAGTTCTTTACTGCTAAAACCCCAATGCTTAGAACAGTGCTAGGTGCATGTGCTAAAGAAATATTTACTAGGCTAGAGAGATGGCTCAGCAGTTAAG